TTATTATTATTATTGTTGTTGTTGTTATTATTATTATTATTATTATTATTATTATTATTATTATGATTTTTATTATTATTATTATTATTATTATTATTATTATTATTATTATTAACTTCTACTTTGTACTTATAAAAGAATATCTTATATATGGTGTCATTGTCACATGCCTTGAGGATTTCGTACTAGAAAAATTTGGGTCAAGCAAGCTCATCTACTTTGTACTTATATATGATATCATTGTCACATTCTTTGAGGATTTCGTACTAGGAAAATTTGGGTCAAGCAAGCTCATCTACTTTGTACTTATAAAAGAATATCTTATATATGGTGTCATTGTCACATGCCTTGAGGATTTCGTACTAGAAAAATTTGGGTCAAGCAAGCTCATCTACTTTGTACTTATATATGATATCATTGTCACATTCTTTGAGGATTTCGTACTAGGAAAATTTGGGTCAAGCAAGCTCATCTACTTTGTACTTATAAAAGAATATCTTATATGTGGTATCATTGTCACATGCCTTGAGGATTTCGTACTAGTAAAATTTGGGTCAAGCAAGCTCAATGATAATTCACACAATTCTTTGCCAGTCCCATTATTTTCTAATTCTAGGTCTATTAAGGCCACGACTGCTATATTCCGTTAGGACCAGTGTTCATGGTCAGTATAGGAATATACCTCTTGATAACATTTCAACCACACATGATTGCATATTTTGGTTTTGAGACACAATAATAACCTCTAATCAAGAAATTAAAATAATTATCGAGACAAACAACATTGTCGTGAAATCAAACAGATATACCAGAGAATGGCGATTAAATAACAACTGACTCCCATTTAAATGGCGTCACATTAACAAACTGAAAATGGATACAATGAAGAGAGCCTTCCCAAGAAACCTTTTGAAAATCAGAATCCTGCAGAGTCTATCATCGACATTAAAAAAGGGGGAAAAAAGGCATTACGGGTTGCAAAATGGGACCGAGTCGAAAGGTAAAACTACAATCATAAGGGACAGAACAATAACAAATTAATTAAAATAGAATGTGCCTGAGAATAAGAACATGAACCCTATAGTTGACCAGGCATTTAACTTTCTCCTCCGTCTGTCTATACGTTGCATTCACCCAAACCATGGTCCGCTTCATTTCACTGCCCAAATAAAACACAAGGAAATTAATACAAAAAAACAAAAAACAAAAAACAAAAAAAACAAAATGAATACGGCAAAACTAAAAACAAAAAACAACGTAATGACTAACTAACAAATCTGTTGAAAGTAAATGAGATACCTCAGCGTCTTCACCTCCAGCAGGTTTAGCACTGTCAAGCTTGGGAGCTTCTTCAGCTGCAGAATAATATACAGGTATTAAACACTCGCAAAAAAAAAAAAAAAAAAAAAAAAAAAAAAAAAAAGAAGAAGAAGAGAGTAAATGAAAACAAGCAAACTACTATAGAAGTTACCGCAATAATAAACGATACATAGGGACGTGATCTCAAATGAAGAAAAACTCTTTATTCTAAAACATAAATGTTACGGTTTCTGCAAGACTGCACTGCAACCATTATCTAGGACAACAAGAACAGTTTCCCAATTTAGGACAAAACTTTTACAAGAAGACCATGAAAAGAAAATTCACGAGTCCAACATTTTCGTATTCTTGACAATTTACATGAATAATCAATCATTAAATTCACACGACAACATTTGAATTATGTAGATGCTGATGTAATCGCCATAGTATTTAACATTTGATGCATTTAGTTGCTATTAACATTTAGTACTCTAGGTATTCAAAAAAATACATACTTTCCTGCTG